CTAGGGAGGAAACTCCTTTTCAAACCTCCTTCCTTTCCCTACATCTCAGCATAAAGAATGTAACAATAGCTTCTCACTAATCACCATTATTCAGAAAGAAAAACCGGCACACTTTAATATTTAACCTTACTAACATCCAAGGAAAAAACACAAATCACACTCCACATCATCCACTTCATGGCTTAGTTTGTAGAATCTGGATGGATTATGAAGCAGATCTGAAACTGACCTGAAAACAACCAGATGATCAGTCAGTCAGATCATCTGATCATCTCCAGCAATGACGTAAATATTGGCAGAGACTGCAGTTGATTACGGGCCCACAACATCTTAGGGGCCCCATCACTGACACCTGGTAGGCCCCCTATGGAATTGTAGACTGGGTCGTTTCTTTGTAGATGTAACGGTGAGAAAAATTCCTCTTAAACACTGATACTGAAGTGACTGACCGCACCGGACCTTATTTGTACTGCAATTCATGCCAGATTTCAACATGATGGTGAGCCATTTAAACATGACACCAATAGCAAAGCAGACAGTGGTACTTTTAATTACTATGTTAATAATGTGTATAGTTTATTAGACAGTTGGTCATAACATACACTCACTTAATATGTTTCAAACCGCAACAAAAATCTTAAAAGAACAAAGTATTTGAGTATTTAATTTTTTTACACTACGACTTGGAATTATGGGTAACCCAGAGTGTAGATTAAAACCATAACCGTTAGGTACAATGTGTTAGCAACAATAGATACCAAAAAGGGGTACTTAAGCGGATTAATGAAAAGAAAAAGGAAAGAGCTGCTGTAATAACAGAAAAAAATTCCCAAAATAAACTACATATAAACTACATTTAAACTACGTCTAAACATACAAAATAAACCTGGTGTTCAAAAAGCATCCCCCTGAAAAGAGTTTTTGGAACTTGTAATGTCTGTAACATGTGGTGGTACGCTTTCAGCAATGGTTCCATTCAAGGTGCGCATTCACTATTTTTCCGTGTCGGATGTGTGATATTGTTTTATTCATCTATTGTTGTGTCTACACCATTGGTCTTTAGTTTGCTGTTTCAAACACTGAGTTTCAATCAGTTCAATAAGGTTTCATTTGGACTTTGTGTTCTTCATGCTGAGAACATCAGAGCTGCTGTTTGCTCACTGAGATCTTCATGGGTAAGATTTTTAATTTATCCACAGTGTTGAAGAATGGAAACATCTTGTCAGTGAAGGTGTGTGTGAAGGTGTGTATGTGTGTGTTAGTATCCAGATCAGAGAAGGACAGCTTTCCTCTGTCCCAGTCCAGATTCACTCTGATCCTCTGGAGCTTATTCTGAACTGAGAGAAGTTTGGGAGGAGATGATGGAGACAATGCTAAGCATTTACCTTCATAGAACCATATTACTAAAAATCGAGACCATATGTTTCTATTCCTCTGAAAAGACTCTGCTAACACACCGAACAGCCAGTATCTACTGTCTCCAACATCAACATCCCAGCTGTGGTTCCCTGACATAAAGCCCTCAGAACTCAGGACAGAAATACACGACCAAAACCCAAACCTTTCAGGATTCTTAGGAAGCTTCTGTTTCTCTCCAAAAGCCACACTGGTCAGATCTTCAGACAGGATGAGTCTTGAACCAGCAGTGTTTGGGTCCAGGATGAGAGGAGTGTAGGACACCATGTTCTTCATGTTGCTCCAGATGTTGAAGGCCAGGTTGCCCAGATGTTTGGCCTGGTCTATCAGAGCTCCTGAGGGCAGCTGTGGATCCTCCAGCAGGGGGCAGCACTGGACTCTTTCCACTGCAGCCTTGAAGTTTGACAGGAATGAGACGTCTTCAGCTCTCAGCTCCTCCTCTGTGGCTTTGACAGTGTCTGAAAGAGCTGCTATCTCTCTGCT